ACTCACGAGAGATGTTTAATTTGGCTTGACGGAGAATGCACGACAACATGAGGGCACTCTGTTAAGGGATGTTTCTCGGGTTGACTTTCTATCCAAAATTGCTCCGATTTAGATGTTCGACACGTAAAAAATGACCGTAAAACTCACGTGGCCAGACCATTAGTGAGCAGTGAACCCTTCGACCAACCTGTGTAAAGTAATTTTATCCACTCGGGCAAGGTAAGTGAAAAAAACATACAGCAGAGAAACCATACTTCTTAAAAACTTAAATTTCTATTTCTTTCAATGAAATTATAATATAATAGAAGACAGGAAGTGAAAACACAGTTTCCTTTTAGGATAAAAAAATTGCTGTTAAAACCAGTGAAATAAAAATATCTTATAAATTAATTAACCATTTGGCTAAAATTGTGTGTTTATATATTACTGAAGTATTTGTAATTTTTAATTGTTAAAACACCTAATAAAAAGTACAGAGTCTTAAAAACAATTATAAAATCTTGACAGACAAGTTTTATAAATTTGAATTTCACGGTTAAATTATTATATGATTTAAAACATCTTAATGTTTTATTATCGATTTAAACTTGTTCTGTATTTATAGTATTGATTTTAATCTTCTAACTTTATTACATTTTTAATTAAAACATTCTTTGCTTTTATTATTATGTAATTCACTTTAAAAGTAATCAATAATTAATCTTTGATAACAAATACGAATTTGCGCATTTTAGCTTTTTAATTGCATACGTCACGCGATACATTTTGTTCAAATTAAAATTTTTCATATTGAAATAACATTTAACATTAATAACACGTCTTGAAGGTACCAGTATATTTATTGTGTATTGTAGAAGAAATATTCACAAATTTTATTCATTTGAATAATTTAAGATCTTTTGAATAAATAGAAAATTTTAAAAGAAGGAATTATGAATATTTCACGTTTGTATCTGTTATTCACTGTTTTGGGATATATGAAAAATGGTATGTACTGTACAACTATTTATGTATTGTATATAAAGTGATTTTAATTATACAAAAGAGAGAAAAATATAATAATATCCATGGATATGTATGTATGTATGTATGTACATGTGTGGGTGTTGTCTATTTTGCTTAATAAAATACCTAAAGATGGGTAGGGAGTACGATACCAAATTTGGCATAGTAGCTCGTGTACAAGAGGCATCCATGCTTTTAATTATGGTGTTTATGAGAGGAAGGTTAAGGGGTTAATTTTTCATCGTTTAATATACAACATATTCAAGATCATTAATAATATTAATCGCTTAATATTAAATTTTATCATTAGTTTCCTTTTTAAATATTTTACTTTAAGTAACATAATTAGTAAAAATAAATTTTTTAAATTTTATTCATTTATTCTATATTTTTTAATTCATTTGCGATTTGATTAAAAAAAACCATTAATTTTATACATTTGATTTAAAGTAAGATTGTTTAATTTAGTTCTAAAATCTTGATTTTGCTTTGTACTTATTTCTATAATTTCATATTTTTGATGATATTTCTTTAGTCCTTCACAGTCTCTTAGTATATGGTTCAAAGAATAGTCACTTGATTTACACCAATAACATCTGTCTTTAGTAAAATCAAAATAGGTATTATTGATAAACAATCAATATTTATTAAGTCTTAATTGAATTAATAATCTTTTTATATTCATATTGATATTAGCTGTTATGATGTTCGAAGGAGACTGGATGTTTAAAATGTTGATGTACCATGGATGGTATACAGACTGATATAATAAGTTTTGATCCATTATTATTAATTGAAAAAATGCTGATTCGATCATTAGAGAGTATCCATTAGAGAGAAAACAGTAATTATTTTATTCGCTTTTTTTCTAATCTGAAAAATGCAAAATGATTACTAACGTATTTTCCATTATAATACTTCAGAACAGTGATCTTCAACCGTTGTGCCACGACAAAATCCAAGATGTGCCGCAAAAATTTTTTAGGTTATTAAATAAACTATTTTTTCGAAAAAGCTCAAAGAACAACAAAGTGTACATGTTAAAATTAAAACTTATTAAAATTGATTATACCAGTTTTTCTTTGTTATAATAAATAAACGTATGCATAATATATATATACATATATATAATGTATAAAGAAAAATTATATTAGCAAAACAGCGAGTGATTACATTTCAAATAAAATTTTCCTTAATTAAAAAAATATCTGTACCCATACTCACTGTCAGTTAAAATTAACTTTTGAAGTCAGAATAGCAGGACATTGGGCAAATTTTTTAAAACAATTATTATGCCATTTTAAATGCAATTTTAAATGCGTTAATGTAAACACCTTTAACAACACATTCCTGATTTAAAGATCTTGAAAGCAGTTTTTAAGTTTACCATTTTTTTAACTTGTAGCCGAATTAGATAAAAAATTTCTTTATATACCATCTTTGTTCCAAATTCCGAAAAAATACAGTGTTCTAAATTTAACGATGTGAAATATGACTTCTTTTAAAAGAATACAAAATGAAATTTTATAATCAGTGATTTATAAATTAAGTACAATAATTTTTAAAGCGCAACTATATATACTTGATATTCCATCAATATAAAGTAAGTTTATCTTCTATTAATAGACATAATTAAAATTTCAAAATCTATTATATGCTAGTTGCTGGGTAACACAACGCATTCGATTATTATTGTCTTTACTTGATGTCGTGTCTCTAAACTATTTATAAAAATGGAAAATCCATTAGTAATTATTTTGCAATTTATAGGTTACAAAGAGTGCAATTAAAATAATTACTGTTTTTCTGTAAAAACGGTAAACGAAAATAGTTATTTTCCATTATTATTATTGGAATAATTGTGATAATTAAACGCTTTCATATTATATTAGTAAATAAACTTAAGTAGAATTCGATCTTAACCATACTGTGATAACCGAATAATACAAAACACTGTACTTAAATACAATAATTATAAATAATATCGTGACTACGAACGTTTATAAATGAAAATTTAATTATAAATGTCCATTGCTTTTCTTAATTTAAAAATACATCTATTATAAAAAATACTGCTTATCTGTGCTAACAGGTAATTAGAATAGTAATTTTCGTTATATATTATTGTTCAAATATATAGGATAAATACAATTATAAAATTATAAACTTTTTTCTTCGTAAAATATTAAGTTATATTCAGATGATGACAGATCTATTATAAGAAAGTGATGTCTGTGTACGAATTTATAAACTTTTTTTACAGAAAGTTGTGTATTTTTCTTAGCAATCGTTAAAATTGTATGTCTTGCCACCATCTATGAAATTCTATTAAATATTTTTATATTATAAAATGTCAAAACGCTTAGTTTTAATATTAGAGATGAGTTTAATTTGTATAAATTGTATACACTAATTATAAGTAAAGTATTCATTAGATCGATTTTACTAGAGATGAAAAACGACTTTCTTGTTGCCTCTACTTCTTTGACGTTTACCAGAAAAGTAAATTTCCTCAATGCTCCAAATATAGAAACCTCGGAGAAAAATTTAAAAAATTGCAGACCAACGTCACAGAAGTTATTAATTAAGCTTCAAATGGAGTGAACGAAAGTCTACCTTTATCATACAAATACACCTACACATTCTAACATCATTAGGAATTGATGCAGTTAAATTGGTTTGGTTTATATTTAAAACATAAATTAATTTTTATAAAAATAAAACCTTTACACAAAAGTTGAAAAATAGCAGGAGATGTGCATCATTATCATCATCATCATTAACCTATCTCGATTACAACATTGAAATGAATATGTTTTAAAAAAAATATATCTATATAACATATCTATCCCATGATAAAAAAACATATGTTACATCTACTTATTTTGAATATACTTATCTTATTGTGAGAGAAAACAAATATTATGTCAAGCAAACTGACAAATACCTACAGTGAACATTTTTTGCCTATTGATATGATAAAATTATATTAATGTAAATTATATTGATGCTGTGGTACTTTAAAAGAAAAATTTACGTATAAGTAACTAAAATTTGAAACGTTTTGGCATTACAATTTTGAATATTTCATGTAATTTTTCAGAAAATTATCAAATATACAAATAAATAAAGAATTTTTTAACGATGTTTATTATGACTATTAATATTATCTTGCTGCCTATAAAATGTAGTAGGTTCATAAAATATTCTATATACCATATTTATAAATGATATTAATTAATAATTATAATATAATATTTAATTATTATATTTAGTGTAGAAAATATTTCTATATAGTTTCCTTTGAATAGATAATTTGAATAATAAAAAAAATTAATTTTCACGATACAGGTTGAGAATGTCTGGAAATTTGATAATATTAGTTTTTATCTTTATAGATTTAAAAATTAAAAATATTAAATTTTTCGTAATTTTGTGCCATGGCACAGTTCAGTTTTCCTTTTATTATAGCTGCGATGTTATGGTTATGGTTTTTTAAATTAAAAAAAAATCATTTTTAACATATTATTCTAGCATAAATATGTCATCAATGATAGTTTTTGGCATAATTAAATGTTTTTAATATTTTCAATCTTTTTCCACTTTCTTATATCTATCTGAAACTAATTGTAAATCAAATGTAACTACTTTTCTTCTTAAATGAAGTTAAGACTATTTACAAAAATATAAAATTTTTGAGTCTATCTTAATCCTTTTTTACACCACCCCAGAAGTAAATATTATATTTTTGTAAATAGTCTTAACTTCATTTAAGAAGAAATATAAAAATCCTGAGTAATTACAGAAATTGTATCCAAATGTAACTAATTTATTATGTAGCTCGTAAAACATTGTTTATTGCGTGTTTCAGTTGGATAGAATTTTCATGTAAATAAAAACGATTACACTTCATTTCCATAACGACAACTGTGTATTGTCTATAAAAAGAAAGTTACGTACTGACAATTAAATTAGTTGTTATTTAGAATGAACATTGCGAAAATGAAAGTTTTAATTCTGTTTGTCTCATTTTATGTGTGTTTTTTCGATTATATTTGTTGTAACGAGGGTGAGTATCATGAATTCTATTTAATTAATCAAATATAAATTTATTCTGTTGAATATAGTCACATTTATTGTAAAAATTATCAATTTCTAAATGTTTATATTTGTATAAGTGTTCCATTATTATTTCAGTAAGACAGACTTGTTTTTAGAAAAAATAAATTTCAATTTTTTTTAGGTTTAAACAGTTGCAAATTGTCTAAGACTAAACTTAACAATAATTTTTAAATTAATAATATATTGTATTTAATATTAATTTAATTGTTTATAACTTATTGTGAGAAAAGGGGCACCAAGATAACCCTGTTCTAGATCACAAAAGAAATGTAAAAACAAATATAGAAAAAATGTGGTTTTAAATGAATCCTGACACCAGTTAATATAAATTTAATAGCGTTTTAATTTAAGATTTTGACATTTCGAGTGGGAAAGGTATGTTAAAATTATCCTGAATTTTAGGAGAATTTAAGTTAAATCGTTTTGCTATCACTTCCAAAGAAAGTGACGTTATCTTTTTATTGCAGAAAACATTCCTATTCTTTCATTAGTGTATTTTTTTCTAAAACCAATAATATTACAATATATATTAAAGTTAAAATTAAATTTTAAATAAATGTCTTTTTTTATTTTCGTCGTAATTAAAATGCTCCAGATTAGCACAATAATATTTTCAAGACTGATTTTTTTAAAGATATAATCACATCGAACAGTTGAAAAAGTAAAATTGCAATTGATATATCGTGAATTTATCAATTCTATACATTGCATATTTTAAAGATCAATAAGCTGTATTAGAATTTTATGCAAAATTTTAAATTATAACGAATAAGTGTTGCTACATTACTGTTGAGACAGTATACAGAAAACATGACCAACAATTTATTTTCTCATTTTTTTCTTTTACAGTCTAGAAGTACAGTATATGGTCTATTTTATGTTTTATAAATTATACGAATCTATTAAATTTGTATAAAAACAATATTTACAGTTCTTTACGAAGAGATGTAACAGTTGCTAGAAAATGTAATAGATTATGAAAAAGCATTTTTAAATAAGAAATTAATTCTGTAGAGTCTGAGAATCATTTCAAATGATTAATAAATAGATAAATATATTGAAAATAGTTCAGGATTACGTCCTAATATATTAGAATTAGTACTGATTCGATAAACTTTAAAGTATATTTTACTTATAAGATTATATAAGTAATTGTACATTTTATAAAACCAAATACATTCAATTTTTTTCTTTGAATTTATTTAATTTTTTCTCATATCATCAAGAACGTTATACATATATCTGCAAGTTCATTGAGGAAAAAACTATGTAAATTATCAAAAATATATTTTCGATCTAGTCTTTTGTATTTTAAAAGGTAACTAAAAAAAGATGATTTTAATAGTCATGAATAAAACTTTCCTTCAGTGNTGTAAATTATCAAAAATATATTTTCGATCTAGTCTTTTGTATTTTAAAAGGTAACTAAAAAAATGATTTTGAAAGTCATGAATAAAACTTTCCTTCAGTATTTGATAACGAGAAAATAAATCCCAATATAGATAATGCTTTGGCTTGCATGGCATGTTGTTTTAAATTGTCGATATTTTAAAAACTATTTTCATATGTAATTTACATATACAGTAGAGCCTCGATTATCTGACTCAATTGGAAACTGGGGTTGGTCGGATAATTGAAAACTCGGATAACCGAAAAATATGAAAAAATCCATTATTAGTGTAGTATATTATTATATCTCATGTAATTAGTATATTAGTATATCGCTATTAACGTACTTCGCATCGATGTTAAGCCTAACAAAAATTTTTTAAAATAATAATCGTCGCTATTGTATCGTTAAAAATTAGAAAATTAAGCCTCGTTTAAATACTGGCTCCCTTTCATGGTCGATCCGTGTTGCCAGCTAAAACACGTAAAAATAATATTAAAGTAGCCAAGACATAGCCAAATATTGTAGCGCCACATCACTAGCGGACATTTGAAATTTGCCGACTAGGACGGTCGGTTAACCGAGG